GTAACTAGCATTGTCACCCTGTCAACATTTCTCCCTTATTTAGTATTTTTGCTTTTCTACTTATCAACATACATCTATTCTCTTTATGTCATATCTGTCTCATTGTTATTTTTTCTGACTGTTAATGTAAACACGCCTTGCATACGCACCTTAACACTTATTAAAAATGTATAGTGAAATATGTGAGCTGGCTAGAAAAGATCATGTAAGAGGGATTCTTAAACTTTTATCAGATCGCTACACTGGGTTTAATATTTGTAGTTTAAATGCTCAAAGCTTAAATGGCGGAAAAGTTGATTATTTAAATTTTGTTTTTAATAGCTTAAATATTGACTTAAGCTGTATTACAGAAACGTGGTTCAAAGAGTACATTGATGCCCTATGCGACTACTCGTTAGTAAGATGCGATAGAATGATTAAGATGCGAGGAGGTGGCATTGCATTTTACTTTAAGAAATGCATGAAATGGAAGGAAATCTGCAGATCGGAGTCTTCTCAAGAAGTAGAATATCTGTTTATTGAGTTCTTTAATAACAGTTCAAAGTGTCTTGTTGCGTGCATATATACCCCAAGCAAGAGAAATGACATTTCAGTTATTTTTGATAAATTATCAGATTTTGCGATCTCCAATGAACATATTGTTGTATGTGGTGATATAAACGTGGACCTTCTATGTAATGACCACTCCTCTAAAAGTTTGATAAACAACTTCCTATCGCTAGGCATTACTATTATAAACAAATATGCAACCCGCTTCGCTCCGCACTGCAAACCTAGTCATTTAGATGTGTTTGGCGTTAGTGATTCTAAGTATGTCAACCACATTGATCAACTACCAATGGATGGCGTCTCCGACCATGAAATGTTGTTCCTGTTCCACTTTCATAGCCAAATATTAGCAAGAGAACTGCTTTTTAGGGACTTTAAGCGAGTAAATCAAAGTGAGTTATTCAAGCAGGCAGATCTGCTTGACTGGAATACATGTTGGAGATTTACGACAGCTGACGAAAAGTTACAACATTTTAATTCTCTAGTTGGCCTGTTATTTGATAAGTTTGTTCCTTTAAGGAAGGTAAGGGTTCAAAATAGCAAAAAGCCGTGGTTCACCAGTGAGATTTTGTCATTAATTAAAGAGCGAAGTAAAGCATACAAACGCTGGAAAAACCATAGATGCTCTGACCTGTGGGAAATATACCGAGTAGCCAGGAATAAGGTTATGGCAAGCACACGTTATGCTAAAAGAGCATACTTACAACATAAGCTCAATGAAAACCTCCCCTCAAAAGTTTTGTGGAAAAACCTCAAAACGTTTGGTTTTTCTAGTGAGGACAATGTCACATGTAACTTAGATCCAGAAATTTTAAATGCCAATTTTCCCTCGTCAAGCCACTCAGTTTCATCTGCTTGTGTGCCCTCTATACCTTCATATGTGGATGATAATGTGTTTCAATTCCAATGTGCGACGGATGAAGATTTAGCTGAGTGTGTTTATGCTGTCAAATCAAATGCTACAGGTGTTGATGGTATCAGTCTAAAGTTTTTTAAAATGATTCTTCCTTTCGCGATCCGATCACTTACGCACATTATTAACTTTTGCCTTACATCCTCCACTTTTCCTACCCTCTGGAAAATAGCAATTATAATACCAGTTCCAAAAATTAAATGTGCGAATTCCCCGGATCACTTCAGACCGATAAGCATATTACCCGCACTCTCGAAAGTTTTCGAAAAATGTTTAGCACGACAAATCACCACCCACTTAAACAAAAACTGTGTACTGAGTGATGTTCAATCGGGATTCAGAAGTCAGCACAGCTGCTCCACAGAAATGCTGAAAATTTTTGAAGACATACGACCAGCTTTAGACAAAAATAACTTGACAACGATAGTACTCCTTGATTTCACAAAAGCTTTTGACACCATCGACCACAATTTATTATTAGGTAAACTAGGTAGTCAATTTAGGTTTGGAGCTTTTTCTATACAACTAATAAAAAGTTACTTAACGGGTCGACTACAGCAAGTTCACTGTGGTAACAATTACTCAAGTCTAAAGCCAAATACATTAGGTGTGCCGCAGGGTTCCATTTTGGGCCCCATATTGTTCTGTGTCTTCATTAACGATATAGTGAAGTGTTGTAAAAACGCATCAATCCACCTTTACGCTGATGATACCCAGCTGTATCTGTCAAGGCCCATTGGTCTTGTTGAAGACTTGATCTCCAGGCTTAACGAAGATCTGTCTCGGATTTCTAACTGGGCAGTTGCAAACAATTTAAAATTAAATCCGTCAAAAACGAAAGCAATCGCGCTTTCCCCATCTGGGTTTGACCTTAGCGGTACATCTCCGATAATACTCGATGGAATAAGTATTAAGTATGATGGTATTGTAACAAACTTGGGATTCAAAATTAACTCAAGATTGTCATGTGTGGACCACCTTAACTTCGTAGTTAGTAAAATTTACAATATCCTTAGAAAGCTATACTATAATGCTTACCAATTACCACAGCAAACGAAATTGAAATTTGTTAGGGCACTCATATATTGTAATATTGATGATGCTTCAACTTATAAATTACAAATTGCTCTAAATAACGCGGCAAGATTCGTGTTTGAAAAAAGGAAGTATGACCATATCTCCCATTTTGCACAACAGATTCTAGGCAGAGATTTAAATGCGTACTTTAAATTACGTGCGCTCTTATATCTACATAAATTATTATATTGCCGTCAACCATCTTACCTTTATAAAAAAATTAAATTGGGTCAATGTCCCCGAACTCTTAATCTCGTTGCTCCAAAACACCTTACTTAGTTTCGGAACGCATGTTCTTTGTTAGCACCATAAAATTATGGAACTCCCTACCGTCTGACATTAAAAATATAAAGCAAGCAAGGTGTTTTAAAATTGCAGTCTCTACGTTTAACTTCTCAGCTTCTCTTTGACATTCAACTAAGTTAAGTACTTACTCTTGTTTATAATGTACTCTAATTCTTTTGTTTAATAATATCTGTATCTAATAATAGGTTTAAGTTCATTTAGTTTGTAAGTTGCTTGTTCAGAAGAAATATTGTAAAAGAAAATGTACTACTAAAAGACTGGGTCTTACTTTGTACAAATGTTATATAGCTAAATAAATAAATAATTGAAAATCGTGCCTCGATTGTAAATCGATGGCAGAGGCTCAAGGCTCTACACCACACGTTTTGCAAACGGTGGAAAAGTGAATATCTCACGGAATTGCAGAAACGCAACAAAATGGAGACATCCGCAAGCCAATATGAAAATTGGAGACCTCGTGATCATCAAAGAAGATAACCTGTCGCCAAACGAATGGGGACTTGAAAGGGTAGTTAACGTCCATCTAGGTGCAGACAATAGGGCAAGAGTAGTGGAGAGGACAGGTTACTAGACCTGTAGTCTAGTTGGTTCTACTACCCCCCTGTGATCAACAACACAGCGAATCGCAACCAAGCAACGATTCCTCTTCATAAAAACCCAACTTATTCCACAACCACAATTCGCAACAAATACCGTCCACTTCAGCATACAAATATAAATCATTACTGCTCTCACGGCAGGCATCTTGAAAATAACGCATGCAAACCGCATATATATATGTTTCATAGACCAGGGCATGAATCACGTATGACGACAATCGTCTGAACGATATCGTGTCGAGATTGTCTTACTTCATAAAAATCAAATATTGTTTGATCGTTTGTGCGATATCGTCAACTCGATTCCAGTTTGGCTTCACGTAACAGTAACAGTAACACGTAACAGCAACACAAATGCATAAATCAGTGTTTTGACAACATCGTTTTGTCAGTATCTTTTGAACGACTATCGTTTCAAAGTTACGTGATTCATGCCCAGTAAAGCTCCAGTCTAGTCTCGACAATCGAACTTATAATATTCAAGTTTATTTTAAGTTATAACTCGATGCCTTTTTCTTTGGAATGCACCTTATTGCAAATCACTCTTAATCAAAAACTTTGAATACTGAGTTTTGCGTGAAAAAAAAATTGTCGAGTTTAAACTGTTAACAAACGAACCAACGGAAAGTAGGAGAAAGTAATCTTATAGAGAATGGTGCATGATACAATCATCATGGGCGATTGGCTGAATAAAAGGTTTAGCGAAAGTTGGTAGTCGACCAACTTCTTTGAAAACGATTAGTCTGAAAATGACAAGAGTTGGCACGCACATAAAAGCCATAAAAGCCGCAACCATAGCGCGAATTTATTTAACATAATCCACCACTATGGCCTTTCATCAAGAAAATTATTTACTCATTATACGTAAAACCTTCAGGTAATGTTCAAAGAAAGAGCTGAAACTGTAAGGTCTCACGGATAATTGATTTGCATGAGAAGGAGAGTGCAACCATAAAAAACAGTGTAGCAGTTGCGAACACTACCTATCGGCCTACTCTTTCAAATTACTGACTTTTGAAAGCAGCTCCAATTTCCGAAAAACGAACTTCCTGTTACTACTTCTAGTCTGTACTGACATTTTTATGCTCATGTCAAACGTAATAATCCGATATTTACGCACAAAGCAGCCCCAAAGTATTCAAAGCATTATTATTTTGAAACTTCGTATCAGAATACTAAGTTATTTACGAGTATTTTAAATCGACTTCCTCATAATTCTGCACAAATTCGGCTAAAACAAAAATCGAGGTACACGGCAATACTGGTGTTAGCACTTGCAACAGAATTGGATTACTGGCAAGTTACTGAGTAACTGATAATCAGTGAAAACTCATGTCATATTCCGAATAAGAAATAGGCTTAAATTAAAAATTTTCAACCCAATAATCGGACGGATTCTGTGGGCAAAGTAATTATATGGGCTGGCCTTTAGCATCTCTGTTTTTATTATTTAAACTAAGTAACCACATTAATATTCTGCCTTTATCTGAACCCAGTGCTGAGATTAGGTCCAGATCCTCATAAATACATGCAGACTAATTGCTTAGTGTTTACACATACCTGCAAATTTATCCTACCCAGGGCATTAGAGTAACTCATCCTTTTAATAGTTCCGAGACGTGTTTGAAGTCGCTTGCAAATCGCGCTCCAGGGATGTTGCCTAATACGGAGGTCTTGCTGATCTACATTCCAGTGAGTCATTCTGCGCAACCCTTTTCTGCAATCAAAACGCGAGCATTTTTAGAAATATACGGAATGATATATCGATATAGAATTCTACTACATACAGCATACGAGTTGTGTTACCGGGCGAAGAAATCAATTTAGAACTCGCAACACTACTCGATGCGTATCTGCAATCTCCTTTGGCCACACACTATAGGTATGCCGAGTTACCCCGTGTCATAGCCGTAGATCAAATGACCTCATCATCGCGTGTATGTAATAGCAGCGGCGCCCAAGAGAAAAATTGAACTCAGGGCCTGTGCCAATTGATAGAAAAGTTCTCTGGATAGTAAATTTTTAACAGCTATGAGGTGAATAAAAATGTTTGATACGGCAGGGCTAGTGAAAAATTTGACAGCAAGCATTATCAAGAAGAAGAACGAACAACGCACGTATACACATAAATTAAAGAAAACAAAAGCTAGTGGAAATAAAAGAACATGGTCCCGCCGGCAAAAAAAATAAAGAAAAGCTATATAACTTGTAAGATTTAATTTCAGATTTACATATGAAAAGGCGTTATGTATTTTTTTAATTAAAAATACTATTTTACAGGGAGCAGTTCAGAACGCAGAATCCTTCTGGAAAAGCGCATTGACAAGGATGTTTGGTTCAGTTCAAAGAACGCCAACAGCAACGAAGGCTGGAAGTGAGTAAGAACAATATAAATAATTTGAAGACTTTATTAAGCAAATGACTTCGTACTCCACTGACCATCCGTGGCGCTTTTTGGGAATGTGAGTTACAATTTTTCGAAACGAAGCAGAGGACAACCTAAGATACATTTTTGTAGTCTTGTTATCGCCGTTCATAATGCTGCTTAGTATTTTGGAATAAACGTCTTTTTGCATGTACATAATACCCTAAAACGACATATGTTTTTATTGGAAACAATTGTACACGGTTTTAAACATTTTTGTGAACACACTTACCAGACGGTTTTGACGTGTTTTTATTTTTAATATTACTGCTAAAAGGTCTAATAAATGCATGGATTTTAGTTCCAGAAGGATTGAAATCATCAAAGGCAAATATTTTCTATATAATTGCTGCATTTTATAAATAGCAAACTCGATAGTCTTCTTGTGCATCAAAGCAACTGTCAAAAATTTCCAGCAGTAAAAAGTTACGAATTGGCACAGCAGAAATGTAAAATTTTCTCACCATAGTAAAAAGTTTTTCCACCATAGAACTTTTCTATCAATTGGCACAGGCCCTAAACGTTTTGTGCATAAAGTTGCTGGCAAACAAGTACGAATATAGCTTATTGGCTAAGTTTTACGTTTCACTTAATCTGCTTCTCAGTTTTCAGTTTTCACGGTGGAAGTATGCATTTCACTGCTTATCAAGTAGCGAGCCACTTTTAAGCACCTAATTGATACTTATTCGCTAGCGAGCTGCTCCACTTTTCCACATATAAAAGTGCACATGTGTGAATTTACAACTTTTCGTGCTTCTGCTTGTTTCTAGATCTTTTGGCTGCATTCTTCGCAAGCCCGTGAGGCCTAGTTATAGTTTCAATATTTTTTTGCACTTCCATAACTCTATAAGCACACCAAGTCCTGCAGGGATGAGCACTAACATCGATGTATTCTCGTACAGTAAATACAGAAATATCACAATTTGCGAGAATGCACACCAAAGAGTCGTACGCGTTGAAAGACCTTCATACTATATTTTCTCCCCCGGAATATAACGTCATACCTAAACGATAGGAAGTCAAAGAGTAGATGCACACTGGCAACAAATATAGTACCGCAGAGAAGGAAAGCGTTCGTGTCACCCTTTATACCTTTTAATTCATCTATATCCTTCTGGGAGAATCCTATAGTCTGCATCATTTGCATAGTATGTTCGACCATTAGCATTAAACGCAATTTTCCAATGCCAATAGGCTTATAATGAAATGTTACTTTCAACTCGGTGGTATTTTTGGTAACTTGTACCAAATTTTTTAAACGTGTATTAAAAAAAACATAAAAATAAATCAGTCTTAAAGATTGGCATTATGGACAAAAAAGAAAGTAAATACGGTTCTCTCTCTGTCAGAAGTTACCAGTTTTAGTCCGAGAACTTTTTGCTGGTAAATTCTGGTAAATGTGTCAAACGATCAGCTGTAGTGTGTTTGGCAACCAAATTGTAAACAAAAGAAAAGTGCACTCTGCTTATTCATGTTGAAAAGTATTTAATTACTTGTTTAAGTGGATTCTAATGAATTTGAAAGTATTTTTGGTTATTTACATGTGTGAGCTGTGTTTACATACCAAATAAGGAAAAATTTACAACCAAAATTTGGAGGTTATGTTGAAGTTGACAGAAGTTACCATTTTTTACTAGAAAGCGATCCCGTACTTTCCAATGTTACTCTCTCGCTCTGAGCGAATTTTTATTTTTTGACAGTTTTACTAGTCTGAGTCCGAGGAATACGGGATTGCACCTCTTGTAGGAAGTACTACCGTTGGGCCGTCCCGTCTTAATGTTCTCCAGTCTAGTGACTCCCCTTTCAATGCTAGCACCACCTGTACGTAAAGGCTTCCGTTTCGCCGGATTTTCAATGGAACATCAATTTGGAAATCATTTTGAAATGGTTGCATATAGCCGGAGCTTTTGGTGATAAAGATTGTTGACACCTCAGTTGCTATGGGATTGGAGTTAATGGAAGCTGAAAGTAGAAGGTAAAGAAAAAACAAAAAATACCAAATTAAAATACTATGAGCCAAAATACGCAACTTACCTCATTGTACCCACTTGTGTCATTGAGGAAATTCTTATATGGGCTGCAATTGACATCAATGAAAGTATCAATTTAAAAAATAGTGATGTGCAGAATTGCCCCAATACTCGGTACCTAGAGCCCCGGTGTTGGTAACCGATACCGACACAATGCACTATACCTGGGCAATATAAGCACACTTCAACCACTTGTTGCACAATTTCGGGCCCATCAATTTTTGAAAAGAATAATAAGGGTTCACATAAAAACGAAACGTTGATAACTTCACAATTTCGACAACTAATGACTCTCATTTATTTAATTTTTGTTCTTCACTCCCCAAAGGCGCTATTGACTCAGTATTCACAAAGCGTCCCGCACATAGCTCCTTAACAAAAAAATAAATACATATATATATATATTGACTTATTTATTTCAATACAGTGTGTATAATATTAATAGTCCGACGCCGAGTGTCAAAAGTACTGGATATTTTAAATAGGTACCGAGTAGGTATGAATACTCATATGTGTTGACTCAGCACATTTCTAATATAAGAACGTAAATTTCAATTTATCCCAAGCACATATATAAGTACTTGCGATTTAGCGAAGTTCCGCACAGAAATCAAAGTCGATAACAGTGTGTCGATGCATAAACATGAGGTGCTCCACACTCTTTATGCAAAAGTCATGCAAGATTATGCACACTATCACAAAACAGTGATATATGAGACCACCCGTACCATAAAATAACTGAACATATTAATCACGAAATTTATAATAACCACATATAATTAAGTTTTTTTTTGCTACTCGCCACCCAACCATAATATATGTATATATACAAGTGCGTATATCTATATAGCCAAATATACAAAGGGGAAAAATGATGATTTCAGATATCAACGATGACTTGCTTCACCTCGATGAGAAAGAAGGCAGAGCAACAATCGAACCGCTTTGCTCTACCGTGCCGTTTATGCCAAGGTATGCATCCGATACGGCTCTGTCCATCATTCCGCGGGAAAACTCCCGAAGAGAGATTGAGGGAGGCGCTGATTGGTCGCTTCTGCGGAAACTGTCTGTCCATGAAACATCGGTCTGGCGAGTGCACGAGCGAAGAAAGATGCCGTCGATGTCGCGAAAAGCACCACACAACACTGCACATGAACGACGAATCCGAATCTCCTCAGCCGATCGACGGAAGACCATGGAGCGAGCAAGTGGCCAGTGAAGACGAATCTGAACCTCCTCAGCCAATCGATACAAGACCATGGAGCGAGCAAGTTGCTAATGAAGATGAATTTGAACCTCTTCAGCCGATTGACCCGAGACCGTGGAGCGAGCAAGTTGCCAGTGGAGACGAGTCCGAACGCGTGTTATCTATAAACGCGTCCGACTACGGAAATGAAACCAGGCCCCTCCGCCCGGAAGACGAAGTAGCAGAATCCACACCGGAAACTTGGGCTCTCCGCCCGAGTATAACCAGGGGATCGGAAACTCGGCTTTTCCGACCACTGTTAGCACACGAGCGACGCCGGGAACGTGGATCGGAAACACGGCCTTTCCGACCGCGGTCAACAGCCCGACAGAACCGCAGAGCGGAAACTAGGCCTTTCCGCCTGCGGCAAAGGCGAGAGGAGTCAGACAGGCCCAATCGCGATCAGGGTAGACTGGAGACGAGGCCTCGCCAGCTACCCATTGCATTTCGAGCGGGTCGACTCGCACGCGAAACCCAAGCGTTACGACCGGTGACCTCTATTGCTCCTACGGTCGTGGTAAAAGTAGAAGCTCGTGGACGGCTGCACCTTATACGCGCGTTAATCGACGTATGCTCTCCGTCTTCGATAATTTCAACAGATTTAGCGGTAGAACTCAGGCTTGACGTTTCAAATTTCGGAACCCAACGTGGCTGTCTACTACGTCTGAGGGGAAAACACTGCCAGAACACCAGGTTGGCTATCCACGCCACAATGATAAAAAATTACGTTCGTGTTAGCCCCACTAGTAGCGTCGATCCATCAGTAGCGACAGCGTATACGCACATACGATTAGCGGATCCAAACTTTTATACGTCTACTCCGATTCGCTTAGTATTGGGAGCCGACGTATACCCAGACATCATACTGCCGGGTATGCTCCCAAATACGTTTGGTCCCTTTATCGCGCAAAGCACCATTTTTGGATGGATGCTCTCAGGAGTATGTCGCTCTTAAATTCCATTTTTGATTTTCTTTAAACATGAATTTTTAACTGAATTTTGAAATTTTGTATGAATAATTGTGCTCTGAAATGTTCAACCATACCTTTTTATTAGTATTTTTTCCTTTTATCCTTTCATTAGCTAGGAAACTAAGACGTGGACCACCGGAACTTGGAGGCATCCTTCCACTGGAAACAATAATAATCTTTTTTTCTCAAATGAGTTGTTATTTTACATATGTTTAGACTGGTTTTTCTACT